ATAACTAAGTTGCATCGTACACCAAAAATAAGTTTCTTATATCCAAAAACTAATTATCAAAGTATATCGCTTGCAAGACAATTTTTAATTTACTTTGTTACAATCGCTGCTTCGTTACATCCAGGTTTGTTATATTGAGGTTTGAGTGTATTAATAAATTTCAATACTTAACATGAAACTTTTTTGAGTGTTTGATATGCTTAGAATGATTATTATTTCGATGTTCAAGATTACCTGAGCCAGCTGGAGTACATTTACATTTGGACATCAACGGGGAATGGGACCTGCTACCAACTGGGAATATGCTTCCGACAGGGAATATTTTCCCAACCGGGAATGCATTCTCAGTTAGTGTCAGTAGGCAACAGGGAATGCGTTCCTTAAACCATTTGAACTGGAACCAGCTGAGACAAGTTCGATTTACAGTTACAAATTCTGATTTGGAAACGCAGGGCAAAGTATCTTGCCTGCATGCAAGACGTTCCAAAGAAGGCAAAAATAAAGTTTCTGTCGTATAGAGCAAATGTTTAGAGTTCCTCGAGAACAGATACTGGGAACGGATGTGTTCCTGTTCCTGCTTGGGATTGTACGCTCAAGCCCGTTGTGGTTGCATTTTCTTAGATACTGTACGCCTTGATAGAAGCATTAATTTCTACTCAATAAATTAGTGCTCTTTCAGTTGACATGTACGTACAAAGAGAATGCTCACCTTACACAATAACACAAGAGCCTTAAAGAGCTTGTTTCGCAGATATGCCGGTGTCAGTGTCGGCGTAGTTGGCTATGAGTGAAAAATCATCATCTTGTCTGTGACCAAAAAAAAAAACACGAAAAAATGCAAATAAAATAAATTAATTTTGGATTCAACGTGAGAATCGAAGCCAGGGAGTATTTAGGGCAAACAGGCCTACTGAAGAGCCACTTCGTAGCTTGAAACTACTTTGGAAAAAAAAACACTAGGTGCATGTCATGTAGTGGAAGGAGTCTCCTTAGAGCATGTGATGCAACTGTGTGGCAGAATTCCGGAATCACACCAGGCGTCAGATCAAGTGAACATGGTACCGCGCAGACGAGTATTGAAGGAAGAACTATGTGCAGTGGGCACTTAGCAACTGCACATCCACTAGACATTCTAGGATAGTTTTGAAATGGCCTATGTCAGGTTCATAAACATTCCTTTCTTTGCGGCACGATTTAATGCCGGCGAAGCAGCTGCCCGATTGCCACCATCTTGAGCTTGTTTTGAAGCTGATTTCTTTGTGCGCATTTTGCGACACTTGAAAATGGCGTCGCATGAACGGAACGTCTGCCCTCGCCCCTTTTCCGAAGCTTCCTTCCCAATCACTCACTGACCAGTGTGCACGCGTGCCAGGCGAACCCCCCCCCCCCCCCCCCCCCGTCTTTTGCTTTCCATTGGCTGATGCAGCCAAGCTGGCTGGGATTTTTTTTCTTCCTGGTTGTTGTTTGTTCGCCGCTGGCTCCCGCTACGCGCGTACGTCTGTCTGCTTCCTGTTCGTGCTACGCGACCGATGCAACGGCTTTCCGTCTTTTTGCCCGTATGACTGGTAATGCTTATCTAAAGAAGACGCGCCAAGCGTACGGCAAGAAATGAAGGCGTCCGTAGAATGTGTCACAGCAGAAAGCCGACAACCTGCAACCGAGTTCGCCCGATGCGGCCCAAGCGCTGCATTTTGACGATGACGCGCAGCCATGGGCACCTGTTGTGTCCGAATCGGTGCACTCTACGGAGCTCAGCTCAGCTACAGCACGGCAGCAGAACGGAGCTCAGCTACAGCATCTCCTCATATTGTCTCGTCGTCAGATCATCTCTAACTTCCAGTAACATCCAAGACCGCATCGACATGGCATTTTATTCTGAGGACGAGTCCGCTGAGTGCGCCAGGAATGCGGCGATCACTCAAAAGACCTCTAAAATCAGCATGCATCCATGCGGAACATTGAGAGGGCTGCTGCAGAAGCAATCAGCCATTTCAACCAAGGCATGACGAAGAACAATATATAAATTGCTGAGAAACTGGGCTACAACACGTGCTGTAATCTGGTTCGTCGCAGCCTTGAAAAAAACAAAAGAAAGGCTGCAGGAAAGGCAGCGAGAGCATCACGACAGCAACGCAACCAAGACAACACTTGCAAAGCGTCGCAAACCAACAGAGAACCCTGCTTACAACCCTGGTCTGCTGTAGAACTTATCTCGTGCAAAAAGTGACAATTTCTTGGAAAATAAACATTGTGTGCTTTCAACCTGAACATTGTGTAGGTGTATTGTATATGCCAGGGCAACAGTAATGTTCAAATTTTGTGCATTCCTTTCATTTGCAACTCACTGAACCGACCAAAGAGTAAAACGCACTCATGACCATGCCATATTTAGAACAAGCTGTGACAAATATTTTGGGAGGGTACAGTGGTACATTTAGCATGGCCATTATCGTATATAGCTACAAAACGGTGCCATTTATATTGCTCTAGCTTTACTTCAACAAAAGTTACAGTTGCTAGAAACTTCAAATGCGTCTTTCTCAGTTCGTTCTTTTGGCACATTTCACTCAGCCTTGGGGGTTTTTCCTACGTTATATTTCAGTGAGAGTGACAAATTTGGTATCATTTTATTTGTCTTCAAATGGCCGTGGGGGTGATGGTGTTGTCATTTCTCTAGAACCAGTTTGAGAATTACAATTAGAGATAATCATAAAAGGAAATTAGAATAAAATATTCATCCCAACTGTTCGTCCATTTTCTTGCCTACAAAATGCCTTCAAATGAAAAAAATAGCATCACCCCCTACAGCAAGTCGTCAGCATTGGGGCTATGCCTTTACTTTTTCATTTTTATAGGGTGAAATTGCCGAAGTCCCATAAGAAATGAGCAGTTAATTAAAATTGAAACATTAATATTTCCTGAACTACTCAAGCTATTCAAAAACAAATTGCTGATATGAAATCAGCATGAAAAATTACCTCATGTAATGGCATTTAGTTGAGATTAAGCCAAAAATTGAAAAACAAGTTTTTAGTAGCCACGTCCCCTCTTAAACAAGGAATCCTTAAACACATTAAACCACTTACTGTGTAGTCTTTCTTGTTATACTTGGGTTCAGGTTTTCAAGCCTGCCTTTACGTACTGTACCGTAATTACTCGAATCTAACGCGCACCTTTTTTCCGGTTAAGCGAGTTTATAAATTGCATGCGCGTTAGAATCGAGTACGAACAAAAAAAATACGGTCAATCTATTGCCATCGGCAAATCCAAAATGGCCGCCCTCTACGTGCGTCAGCATGGCGCGTCGGCCATTTCTGCCTATGTGTTTCCCATGTGCGGCACTTCGTACGTGTGCTGAGAAGTTCGTCATCTGGTAGTGCATTAGCATCGACGGCACGGAAGGGCCGACTCCAAAAACTCGAGTGTACCACGATGCCGCTTTTAAAAGAAAAGTCATCGCGTGTGCAGAAACGGACGGAAATCGGACCGCATCGCGGTCGTTCAGAGTTCCCGAAACGTGCTTGCGGGACTGGCAAAAACAAAAGCAGAAGACTGTCGACAGCAAAGCTTCACTTCACGCAAAGGCTTTAGTGGACCCCAGCAGGGTCGGTTTCCACAAATTGAAGAGCTGCTCGGCGAGTATGTGCTTGAGTAGCGAGCGCCACAGCGGCCCGTGACGACAGAACTGCTCCAAGTGCGGGCTATGCAATTAGCCTTAGAAAAAAGTCTAATGCGGAGCCAGTTTAAAGCGAGCAGATGCTGGCTAACTAACTTTATGAAGAGGAAAGGCTTTTCTCTCCGAAGGGGAACGGGCATATGCGAATAGTTTTGCGGAGGAGTACGATGAAAAGCTTCACAGTTTTCAGAGGTTCGTCCTAAACTTGCGGCACAACAACGGCTACCTGCTGGGGCAAATCGGGAATGCCGATCAGACGCCTCTTTACTTCGACATGCCTGGCACCACAACCGTCGAGAAGAAGGGGGCGAAGCAAGTTTGCGTGCTGACATCGGTCCACGGTAAAACTACAGTGACGGCAATGCTCTGTTACACGTCAGATGGGCACAAGCTTCGCCCTTACCTCATATTTAAATAGAAGACGCTCCCGAAAGGAGTCGTTTTTTCGAGTGGTGTGATATCATGCGGGCCATCGAGAAAAATGGGTGCGCATTGCAATCGATGCCTTACATTATTTTTTTTTCGTCGGGGAAATCGGGTGCGCGTTACAATCGAGGGCGCGGTAGAATCGAGTAAATACGGTATATCGCTCTCAACTTCCAGTCATAATTCATCTTCCTGTAGAAAATGCAGCTCTCCTTTTAAAGAACTGCCACATCACTGGGTCAGGAGCCACAGCATAGATTTCAAGGGCAAAATAAGTGCTTCATAAATTCATACACCAAGATTTTCAGACATTTTGATTTTATCCACTAGATAAGGGAGGGTTCACATCAAGAAAGAATGATGTGTAGTATGCGAAATCACTTCACTTGTGCCACTACATAAATAGAGTTACACGATACTTTTCAAGATAATTGGCTTTAACTTCCATGGACAGAGGTGCCAAACTATATAGACCGTGCTGTCTAGTGCTATGTGGATACTGCTGAGTTTCCATCCAGTAATAATTGTTAAGGCTTTACATCCCAAAACCACAATATGACTATGAGGGACACCATACCAGAGGGCTCCAAAAATTTTGAGCACCTGGTATTCCTTAACGTGCACCGATATCGCCACAGCACACGAGTCTCTGACATTTTTGCCCCATCGAAATGCGACCGTCGTTGGAGGAATTGCACCCGCAGCCCTTGAACAAGCAGCCGAGCGAGCACTGTAACCTCTATCCGTCATTCCATTGAAGAGCAGGGGCCTTTTGCAAACATGTGGCACCACAGAGCTAGAAATGGAGGATGCAGGCACAGGCGTTGCCCAACGCAAACATCCCCTCATCCGAGCACATCAACCACACAGAGGCAGCACAAGATCATAAAGCCCTTACTTCCTCGAGGAAGGCCTCGAAGTCCCGGCTGTGGGCACTGGTGCCACACTTCTCGGGCAGCAGGTCCATCAGCTGGGAGTGCGTGCGGTCACCCATGCACAGCAGGCTCACCATCTCCTGCCGAGTCACCTCTGCCTCACTCATGCCTGCAGGAAGTGCACGCTTGATCAAAAAGAGGGGGCTGCGAGCAACAGGGTTCTTCTTCTGCCATCTGTTGTGTCATCAACCAACGGTGAACAAGCACAAGAATTTTTCCATCAGGTTTTTTTCTATCAACGTTAATATAGTAATCACATCAACAAAAGAAAACTGTTCACATGTGTCACCATTTACCGATATGGCCCAGTCTGAGTGAAGACTTGTGTCTAGTAGTGCTAAATCTAAATTCTACAAGTAGAAACATCAAAAAACAGATAAATTTTTTATGCAAACACAACCTGTTCCTAATGCAAACATTGATCTGCCTGTAAGTGTATGCAAATGTAAAATCATGGCTACGTACGACTAACTTTGCACGGAGTTTCCCACGCCACTAAATTGACTCGCGCATTACAACAGGACATTCCTTTAAGTGCTCATTCTAGGTTTTATAACACCCATGACGAATATTTCTTATGGTATGTTTTTTTTTATTTACCATAGATTCCCTTAGCATGGCTCAATAAATACTCCTAAAGTTTGCCGTGCTACACCTGAAGCTTCCCTATAACACAAGTTAATTTTTGGCCACGCAGTACTCACCGTACTTGTCAGAGAAGTACGAATTCCTGTGTCGCTAAATTTTATGCGTGTTCGTTTTTTGAGTGCATCTGCCCTGAATGGGTAACCCACTCCTGCTCAAGGAATGAAATTCATGGTAGCAGCACCCAATAAATAAATGATAAGAATTACATGATAACAAATAAGTGATAAGAAAAGAAATAAATGATAAGAATTACATGACCCCTGGACGATAACATTAATATGTATGACGTCCCATAGAGTTAGTGATGGAACCTGAAAGACAGTGCGATCAGTCAGCCACAATTTCTTCTCATGTTTTCTCGCTTACAAGATTGTCCTCTCACTGCAAGAGGGCAGCTTTTGGTATAGTTAAAGGTTAATTTACTATTACAGAAAACTTCTTTTCGGTGTCCTTTTCAACCAATCGCCGACCTATTGAGGAGTGAAATTTGGAATCATGCCTCCACGAGCTGCCTACACATGGTGAGAGAAGTGGCAGCAAAGAGTGTGTTCGCACCCAGGTTGGTGCGGACGCTGAAGAGCATGGCAAGAAAGGTGAGCGCAGCCTCCAGCATGGGCAACACCTTGTCCGGCTCCAGAAAAGAGTTGGTTCGATTGGGCGACAGCGACAGCCACTCCCAAACGTGGAACCTGATCGGCAAAAGGAAAGCAGAGAGCATCAAGTGAGTGGCTTCCGTCACTCGTGCTTTCAACAAATTTTAACACTCATGCATTGCTTTCATATTGGTGATGCAAAAGCCAAAACGCTACAGTGGACGAAAACGTGCTCCTGTCATCCACCAATACTGGTGCCTTGCCAATTTGAATGAGCTTAGCGTCATTCAGATTCCTGCAATGCATTGAATCTGTGTGTCTTCTCGCGTGTTTTCAAATGAAAGATTAAGTGAAAGATATAATGATAAAGATATGTTCCACTTTCTGTCAATATCTCAGAGCCCTTTGTACTAAGCGCTGGCTTTTATTATTCAAAGTGCCTTCATTATCCTGATAATTACGATGTGCATCACACCACTCAATGCACAGTACTTAACACAGGTGTAAACTACCAATGAGATAACCGCACAAAATCCAAGTACCACTCCATGCCAGGTGAACGAGTTCTGACCGAAGACAGTGCATTCACACGAAAAAGCAATAACATCTAATTTGACACAACCCCCAAATGGTATGATAATTAATTAGTATTTGATGGGCTTTCTGAACAATTCACAGTTCAAACATCAAATAGCTTTTAGAAAACATAACTAATTGGCTTTGTGGCAGTATCTTTCCACAAAAATCATAGGTATAGAAAATAGCACTTCAAAAGCGATATGCTGGGCTTTTCTATAAAGTAAATCAATGTTCCCCCATAATTTTCACCTGGCTGCTTTCCATTGCATTTCAAATAAGTTCACCAAAAGCCACATACTCAATATCATACTTTTCAAAACACTCACAATGAAAAAAATAATTTAAAAAAGCATATCTTTGCCACATAGATGAGCATTCATTTCTAAGTTTAATGCATGTTTTTCTCAAGATGCAATTTTGGGCAACTTCTTGAATTTAAATGTCATGTTTTTGGTGCTTCTGATGGCCAGATCAAAATGAAATTTTTCCCACATATTCCTTAACATGTTAGGAGTGCAATTATTACCTTCAGTACCTGATATCACTTATATAATTATTATGAGCTTAAAGTTAGCAATTAGCAAGGGATGAGCATTCCAAGACTTCTATAAGCACAATTTTTCTTATTCATTAAAATGTCTTATACACACTTTCTTGTTATTTGCATTCTTCAGTTATCAATATGAGCCGTCTTTGTCTCATAGGCATACAAGTGTATATTTTACACATTATATGAGCCGTCTTTGTCTCATAGGCATACAAGTGTATATTTTACACATTGTCGTGGTACAAAATGAAAGCGATGCAACTAACTATAAAATAAGCACATGTTTGAAATCAGCAAGAAAGCTATGTAAACAGCAAAAATTTCATTGCCCTAGACCACAAACTAAACTTTTTTTTTTCCAAGTGGTGTCTCCCCTTAACCACTCCACATGCTCCAGCATATGTGCACACGCACACGCACACACGTGCACACACACACACACACACGCACACACACACACACAAGCACACACACACACACACACACACACACACACACACACACACACACACACACACACACACACACACACACACACACACACACACACACACACACACACACCTTTGGAAGACAGTGGAAATAAACCAGTCCGGATCGAGATGGGTGGCACACAGCTGGAGCAGAAAGAGATCGGCATCCACCATAGAGTTGCAGAAGTGGCACTGAATGTACGTCATGGCTTGCCCCTTGATCTGCAGCCCATTGCGTGCCCAGAGGCCGCAAAGGATTTCATGGAACGACACCTGCAAGCAGAAAAGCGCCGCCATCTGCAATTCATGGTCAGTCAGCATTTCCTATCAGCCACCAGCGTTGGTTGAGTCTAGGTTTTTTTTTTTAAAGGGAACATTGCAGAACCCAATGAGTGCAATAATAATAAAAGCTTGAGTTTTACGCCCACAAACTGCAATATAATCATGCACAATATGACTATTAAGCGGAGAGCTCTGGAAGTTTTGACAACCTGGGGTTCCCTGAAGAGCCGACAATTCACTAGCACAGGGGTTCTCAAGCATGTTGGTCCAAGGGAAACCTGCTAAGCTTTAAGCACCAAGTAAAAAAACCTCACATCCTCCCCTCCCACTTTCATGCAAACACTTTTCATACTGCTTATGCTACAACATTCACATGCAATAAATAAAAAAGCAAGGGTATATAAAAAGTTCATCCACTGAGATGTAACTGAACTCACTTTCCTTGCACCGACAAATCGATGCGAGACTCAGTAACGCTCAGGACCTGCCGCATGTCAGCTGATTGATTGATTGATTGATATGTGGGGTTTAACGTCCCAAAACCACCATATGATTATGAAAGACGCCGTAGTGGAGGGCTCCGGAAATTTCGACCACCTGGAATTCTTTAACGTGCACCCAAATCTGAGCACACGGGCCTACAACATTTCCGCCTCCATCGGAAATGCAGCCGCCGCAGCCGGGATTCGAACCCGCGACATGCGGGTCAGCAGCCGAGTACCTTAGCCACTAGACCACCGCGACGGGGCCGCCGCATGTCAGCTGCTACATTCAGCTGATTCCTGTGCTTATTCTTCAGATAGGCTAGTGTCCAGAGTGCCTGCTCACAAGCATACGTTGTTGCAAATGACTGCAACATGCCCGCTGTCTTACCTTCAGCCCCTATCCTCAAACAGGAGAAATGCGAAAGGGGAAAATATAGGCCTATTTTCAGAGTCTGGATGGCTACGAGCTGCTCGCGGGATCGATCACGCAGCTTGTGCGTTTCTGTTATGCACAGGAATGCGCTTACTGACACTCGGGTGTGGGTAATGGAGGTTCCTTAGACTGATCGAACCACGGTTTTATTCAAGTGAATTGGAGAGCGCAGAACCAAGAATAATTTATCAGTGGCTCGCGGAACTCGGAGGAGGGGCCTGCTAAACACTATGTTTCATGGAACCCACTTTGTGAAACCAGCCTCTAGGATGTTGCCTCCTAATAAATGCCGCTGAAGCGGCCAGGATTCGATCCCAAGACCTTTGAGTTAAAGCCCAACAAACAAATTCTCACTGATTCAGACAATACAAAAAATCGTTAAAATGACATTTAAAAATAAATGATTTCTCTCATGCTTCAGCCCCCTTCCATAGGGCTGAAGCACCACTGCTGCTTTGAAAAGACTCTCCATTAGGCGGAAGATAAGTAAAAATAAAATACAAATAGCAATGCCGCCTTGAAGCTCCTTTACTGGCATGTTATGCCAGTAAAGCCCTGCTAAGGCATGCCTTATTCTTGACCAGCAAAAATTAAATACAAAGTGTTGAAATAATGGTAGGGCCTCCACAATTACTTATAAATTAAATTTAATTATGTTACACTGTATTCAATACAGAGGCCTTAACATGGCAATTTTCAGGAAATGTTATTGAGCCAGAAAGACCAAGACTAAAAGGCACATATCTGTCACTGACATTCAGGTGTTTGGATTTTGGCACGGTATTCAAAATCACACCATGACCTTTAATTAGGAGAGTGCAAATATTAAATTTTCAGTTTTGAAGAGAATACAAGTAATAAAAACAAAGTGTAGCGTGCATCAAACATGAAAAAAATATTTTCGAATATGAATAGTAATATTACCGATTTTTGCATGTGTGCACACACACACACACACACACACAAAAGGATAAAAGTTTGAAGGTCACACCACACATGCGAAATTAACCCGCGAAATTTGCGCCAGTGTTTCCGCTAAAAACACCAGCCTTGTGATTCATGCTTGAACAGAGGGCCATAAATAATTCGTATAAGTACCCCATCATGAGCTTCATGCCAGAGAAAACAATTGAAAGTACAAGAGAAAAATGTAATGACTGGAAGCCCAAACGACAAGTGTACCATGGCCTGCAGAGGGTGTGCCATTAGGGTCATCAAAACATCCGTGTCTGGTAGGAGCTCGACCAGCGTGGCCCCTTGCCTCGTCACCGCCTGGCACAAGAACACTGCGTAGTACCGGTGCAGGGGCAAGTGGAATGACACCTGGTACGGGTTGGGCTGAACCAAGAGATAAAAGAAAAAAAACAGTCATTTGTGAAATGCAACTCCACAGTGTACAGAAAATAATAAAGAAATAGAGAGGGCACACCTTTAGAAACGGGGACAGTGCCTAGGCTAAAAAAAAACAGAATTGCAATGATGCATCTCAGATGAAAAGGGTAAAACATAGAAATGCGGGAGTACAACAATGAATAACAGTTGGCCAGCAATTTTGACAGTTGTGAAAAATGTCATTCACGGTAACCATGAGCACTTCAGACACCTAAAGTAGACCGATGCCAACAGCTGCATTAACTAGCACAATTAAGAACACCTAGCAGAGATTGTCATGCGTCATCCCCTGAGAAGTTGTTTTGACTGCATGATTCTTGAGCCAACTGTAAGTCAGCTTCACCTTACGATAATTCCACGCCGAGGTCAGTGAAGTTGCGATAATGTGGAAAACAGTGCCAGAGTTTACACAGTGTTCTCAGTATCAGTGTTCCACCTGACCGCGAGGTTGGGCAGGCACATGAGGAACTACAATACAGACCGCTTATAACGGAAGTCGCCAATGCCCGCAATATAAACAAAACAGCCTTCTCCGAGGGCCGCAGTTGCACACAATGTGTTGAGCATGCAGACTCGCATGTCCGAAAATTAAAGCATACCTGGTGCTTACAACCATTCAAATTTCTGAATGCTCTAAAAAATATTAAATGAATGCAAGGGGGGGGGGGGAATCTAACAATAACAAAAGAAAACGACATCGCAGAAATTCGCTGACTATTTCTCAGACCGCCTCGATTATGCGCATTACACAAAAACTATGTCGAATCATGTATAAATTTCATGCGCTGAAAGACACCAATCGTTCCGTTTCATCGGTACGCACCTGGTTTCAAGACATCGCAATGGAATTGCAAACCACCATTCAAGCGACCCATACCACCCTCATTTTTCTTAACTGTGTGTATCCCTTCCCTTGAAGTTCAGCCACCACTAAGAGTTTTGTTGATTTCATACCAAATCGCAACTTAGGTAGCACAAGACTCCTAGCAAAATGCAACCAGGGCTGATTAGGCCTATCCTGCCGTTTGGTATGCTGTCAAGGAAAGTTAGCTCAGGATATGAAGACCAAGCACCGAAAAGATCGCACTTAAGTACTGAACCAAAAACAGCGTGGGTGATACGAAGTTCGCGTTCGCAGACAGGAGATCAATGACAGAAACCCGCCAAGCTCATGTAAGACCCCACACCGGCAGCGAAGATGAAAGCTCACATGATGAAACCGTAAAAGCTTCTAAATTAACGGACCAGGTAGCTAACACGATATCTGTAGCAAGCTCGATAACGATGACGCTGTTTCAGAGAGAAACTTCTTTTAAGCGCAGTTGATGAGAAAGCAATTGCACGTGCCATTTTGAGTCGCGCGCAGCTGGCAGCAGGTGGCTGGAGCAACGATAGCGACGATAGTACACTGTGCCAGTGCAAAGGCTTTCTGGGCAACCGCCCTCCTCCCTTACTCGACGATCACACGCAGCATGCCGTAGTCTTTTTTTTTTTTTCTTCCTTCGGCCCTTCGTTTGTTCACTTCGCGTCCCCTCCTCCTCCATAACTACCTCGACGCTCTCTTCCCAGCAGCACACCCAGAGCACCTTCTTTCAGACACACATTTGCCACCACGTTTGTCACAATTTTCGCGGAACCACATTATAACCGGTCTTTCATCTTGGCAGGACTACACAATAAGCAGTATGCATATACATGGGGTTCGGAGCAGGTTTGCTAATGGTGGCTACTTTTCGCCAAATTGGCGAATTTAAGAAGCTCGTAGTGACCTACAATTATGAATGGTGACATGGTGAATTGTTGACGATTTTCGGCTTTGGTCTTGAGTGAGTTAAGCATTGTATACTCAGTGTTCTAAAAATGAACGGGTGACATTTTTTCTCATATTTGTAGTTTGAGACCCGCCAGTAGAATGCACACTTTACACGCGGTTGAGTACGTGTGTCCTGCTTATCTTGTGTATCTCCTCAATTCACTGAGATCCTGGAGCTGCTGGCGCTCTGGTGCGTCACCAGCAACCTTCCAACAAAATTCAGGTCAGTGAACTGCTTCGCATGCAGCGACGTAGTGGTGTTGTAGTAGCTTTTTAGGTGCTTTAGGAGCTTTAAGCTTTTTAAAGCTGACTTTTGAAGTGGCTTGGTGACAGATAGCTGGCGTGTTCCAGACACAGCACCAACTGCCCTGAATCCTGAATAGCTTGTAGACTTCTTTAGTACTGTAGTACCCCTAATTTGGTATAAAGAGTTTAAATTTGTTATTAACACACTCTTTGGGCCAACCAGGAAATTGGGTTCCTCAGGCAGCCTTCAAAAACTTCAGAAACTGCACTAAGGCAAATGTGTAGCGTAAGCATGACTGTATAGAAAACGTGGTGTGACATTGCAATGATTAAACAATACATTCGAATTTATTTCGGTTGTTCTACAATGAAGTTTTTCCGTTATCGGACACATGATTCCACTTCAATGTTTCGGCGAAATTCTCTAAATCTGCAGGAAGGCTACGCACGCCGTCCCCTCCTTGCAGTGGCGGATACAGAGGGAGGGGGGAATCGGCAGGGGCAATTGCCCCCTCCCCCAAAAGCCTGTAGGCACCCCCTCTCTTTAGTGGTTGCCGTCCACTTGCTGTCGCTAATCAGGACAAATAAGTGGACCACTTTGACCACACATTGACAGTATATATGCTATGACAGAGTTTTTGTGCTTGTAAAAACAAAAAATTAATGACCACGCCCCCCTCTCCTGTCTTACTTCAAACGACCCCCCCCCCCCAACTGAGTGCCTGGATCCACCTTTGTCTCCTTGTTGCAGTGACTGCTTCGCCCTGTATTCTCTACAACTGAAACCATCACAAACTTTTGTTATGAGGCGCTGGCATTCAGGAACGCTGCTGAAGCATGCGTGCCCTTTCTTTGTGCTCTCATGGTGAAGCAGCTGATGCGACAGGCATTGAAAAATGGCAGTATAACTGAGGGGTTATACAGTCAAACCTTGTCATAATGAAGTTGAAGGGGGAGTTGTAATTACTTCGTTATAACCAATATCCATTTTTACTGAGAATCAGCCAGCAAGAGAGTATGTACTCGCCAACGAATGTCACAGCTCCTCTCCGCACAGAGAAAAACAGCAGTCGGAAGGCAAAATCTAGCAGAACAATAAAAGAGAATGCACATTCTTTCTGCCAAATTCAGCACACCAACTGGAAGATCAGTTCGAGGAAAATTAGTTCTTAATAGACTTTTGCCAATTCTTCATCACAAGGAGGACTGCTTTTTTAGCTGCAGCAGCTATTTCGAGTCCGTCCTCACTGTCATCGTAAGCACCAAAATAGCGGCCCAGCAGGTCTGTCGCATTCAGCACTTGCGCGGGCGTCATACGTCGGGTTCGCCAACATTGGGCTCTGAGGTGTCGACACATTCGTCATTGTCGTCATGCACGCCCGTCATCATGGGCACAATTTCCGCATCTGACAAATCCTTGGTTGTCACCGCCTCAGTATCGGCACCAACATACACACAGAAAGTGTCGCAGTCAGGCACAATGCCGGCGTCAAAGACAGCTTCCCACGACGTCTAGGCCTGGTCGCCTGCGGCACCCACATCGGCGATATCTTCGGCCACTTTTGTTTTTCCTGATGCCAGACTCAACGGCTTTCAACACTGCCGACTTCTGCTAGATTGTTATATTTTTACGCTTACATTTGCTGCTGCCGCTGTCCAACTCGTGTCTAGCGTCAGAAACTGATAGAGGTGGTATTGCTCTTCCATAGTGAAAGACAAAGAAGAAAGCCACTATCTCCGCCTCTTCGGCGTCGCGCGAGGCCCCAGCGTGGAGCTGAAAGGGAGAAGGAGGTCAGATGCGCGGGCAGGTCAAAGAGTTATACAAGAGAGGGGAGGCCGGCTGACGCACACACTCGCGCGAGTTGCTGCACAGGTGAGTCCATTAGTTCCAGAGGAAAAGAGAAGTGGGGATACTCGCTCTCACACATGTGTTGGCAAGCGGCTCCAGAGAAGCGCAAGGCGTGAGTTTTGAATTACAGCAGCGGTGATGAGACGTAAACCGTCACGTGCTATAAGATATTGAATTGATGTACCGTATTTACTCACATAATCGGCACACTCGCATAAAAGGCGCACCTCTAGTTTGTTTGCGTAAAATTCGATTTTTTTTTTCAATTCCGCGTATAATAGGCGCACCTCGAACTTGGCCGTGATCAAAAACGATTCTACCCTGCAGCGGTACAGGTGGAACGCGGTCCCCGGGCATTGAAGAAAAGAAGGCAAATCGAGAGAAAAATAAAAAATTCGAAGTGCAACGACCTAACCAACGTGATTGTCAAAATAAAACTTGGAAAAAAAAAAGCGTCCACGAGCAAAAAAAAAAAAAAGGCTGTTCCATCCATTACTGATAGTCCCCAAATCGCTGCACTCATGAAAGAAGGAATAAACTGAGAAGAGGCCGTTACGTCACATTTTGTGAAGCCGGAAGTAGGGAAGAGTAGAGAACTCCTCTCGGTTAAGGGCACGCTACGGTGGCTCGCGCAATGGGAGCCAGCGAGAGGGAGGCACTGACGTGCCCGGCGGATCGCCTTTGTAAACTCGCTGCCCGGCGCCTCCCTCGCTGGCACACGTGGCACCGGCATGCCCCCATTGCCCCACAACCCCCTGCAAAAGCATGCGACTACCGCCACACTTTTCACTCTGCAGCACGCATTGCGAGGGTCTTTTCTCAGCTTTCCATCCTCCATGGCCGCGCTCCTTGGAGGTCACGTGTACAACGCCGGGGGCTCGATTGCCATCACCACCATCAGAGAAAAAGAAAGAAACGCCATTTTGCAAGCGGTGTGTGCATGTTGTGGTCGTGTATTCAACTTTGGTTCCACCATGGGGAAGCACGCAAGCTTCACGGCTGGATTTAAACTGAAGGCAGTGCAGTACGTGCTGGAGC